ATTAATTTATTGAAATTGGGTTTGTTTATTTGTTTTTTAAAGCCTTTTTTTATTTAAACAATAAAAAAGCTCGTTACTGGGATTAAGGGCCTGTTTACATGGAGGCGGGGGACCCCAGGTAGGTGAGGTAACCCGCTTGGGTGGGGTAGCCCGCCTGTCCATATAATCTCTCCCTTTGATTTGATCACGTTTACATGATAAGTGGGGTGACCCGCCGCGAGTTAAGTCACCTATCTGGGGTCTCCACCTCCATGTAGACAGGCCCTTAGAGGTACAAATACAGTGAGAGCATGGTCTCAGGATGAGTATCTATTCAACCACACTTCACCACACTAGACTTGAACTCTGAAGAAGTTGCGTCGGGCGCATTACATTCTATAAAAAGGCTTACCATTGAATTGGCTTACTTCTGATTACCTCTTTCCCGAACCCAGGCGAATATTGAAAGAGCATAACAAATTCAGTAATCTCTGAAATTTTGAGGCCGATTTACCGAATAGTTTCGGAGAAATTCTCTTTGAAAACCCCAGTCTTTACAAAGACTGTATGAGCTCAACAACGCTTTTGCCACCCAGCAATGTCGCAGTTTTTGATTGTAGCTAGTTCCATTCTTATGGATTGCAAAGAGCTGAAACTTGCACAAACTGCTCAAATTAACAAGCTCTTTCAACTTTTGAAGCTACTTTGTGTACACAGTGACGTCTTCCATGGGTTAACCCGTACGCTAATGCACTTACGCTAATGAGAAAAATTTGAACAGAGACGTCATCAAGGATTTGCCTAATGTGTGGTCAGAGGTATCTTTTCGTTTCCAAAGAGACTTCCCGAGGCTTCATTCAGACTTCGGACGCTACCAAGAAATATCCAAATCTTCACTTAGTCTAGCCTGTGTATAGCCTCCCAATCCTCTCCCTGATTTTGTTTCGAGGGGAGGGGCGGCTGCATATACACAGGCTAATTTAGCCTTGTAAAATTACTGGGCCAATATAGCAAGACTTTTTCTAGTGTCATTTCTGAAGTGTGGCTATTAAAGAGTGGGGAAAAGTCACAAATCAGCTTCTCGTGCTCCACTGAGCCGAACCGGGGGAACTGTTGAACGAGTCCTCTTTGGGGGGTTGCGTCCGAGGTCCAATCCCTTGCCCTTTTATATGCCGTTTTTGACACGTGAGGCCAAAAAAAGATACCCGCCACGTTCGGGCGGGGACCTCTTATGTAGACCATGCATGTGTAAGAGAGTTCCCCGCACTTTCCGGAGAGGTAACCTGCATTGACCGCCCCATTGTGAATCAAAAGGAAACTAAAACCCTTCGCCTAACATGACAGCGTATCCAAGCGTAGTTAAGTAGATCCCGGAGTTATGAACGAACGGTTGATTTACCACTTAGGCACATACATGAAAATGAAGTCGACAAAAAATTTTTTCTCTCTCGCCTCTTTTCTTTAGATTTATATTTCTTTTCTCCTGTAATTATGACTCCCTGAAAACTCAGACGAAACACATCGACAACATCAATCAGCAATATGCCCCGTTCACACTAACTAAACTTGTTATTTAAACCACAAGTAGCCCAAGCTCGAAATATAAGCAGCGGTGATCATCGACATTGTTGCATAACATTCGAAATATAAGGATTTGTATGCGAAAAAAAAAATCCTATCGTTTCCGTAACCAACGAAAATGAAAGGATTTCAACAAAACAACAGCTTACCTTTCATAAAATGTCTGTTACATCTCTCCTGTGGTTTACCTTTATATAGAGAGAAAATCGTTTACTGTACCATAAATCGGCCCATGGACCACACAGGAGAGACGTAACACACATTTTACGTAAGGTGAGCTGTTTTTTATTGAAATCCTTTCATTTTCGTAGGTTACAGAAACGATAGGTTTTTTGCCCATACAAATCCTTAAATTTCGAAATCAATGTTACGCAACAATTCCGATGTTAGCCAGTGCTCATATTTCGAGCTTGGGTTCCCTGTTTTTAAACCGGCAGGTTTAAAAAAATGAAAAACAAACACGGAAAACTGGGGCGCGATCCACTCAACCAAAATTTCCGGAAATTTCGGTCCAAAACTCAATAGATCGGTTCGGTCCAACCGGAAAAGTTTCGAAAAAACAGGTCCACCTTTTGAGGTGGTCCTCTTTTCCCGGTCGGACCGGTCTGAATTTTGGTTGAATGGATTATGCCTGCCCATATGTAGCAATATTTAATCCCTGTTGATTCATATTTGATTTGGACATGATTTCTTTTCAATTTAAACCTCGCATCTAAAATTTATTTAAATTTAAAAGAGTTTTATTTAATCCTTTGGAAATTTCATTTAAACTTCTTACGGAAATCCATTTAATCTTCGATTAAATTATGGTTTAAACTTTGACATTTTCGTTTAATTCATTCTATCCATTTGAATTTAAACTTTGGAATTCCCATTTAAAATTTACTGAAAAATGTCTTTTAAACTGCTGAATTCTAACTTAATCCTTTAAATTGAAACGTTAACAAATTTCTTTTAAACTTACCAATGTAAATTATATTTAAACTGTGAAAGTAAAATTCATTTAATCTTCCTGGGGCGAGCTCGGCCGGGATCACGTGCTCAGGTCAAATGGCAAGGTCACATGTCGTATCCTCGGCTGCAATTTTTATCTGCAGTATAAAGTATGGACGAAGGAACAAAAGGAGAAGTGAGCGAATTACTAAGCGAAGCGTCAAGGCTTCTGCCTTCCAGCACCTTTTCTAAGGCTGCTTCAAATTCCACTTGTCCAGCTGCGATACCGCAGGCGACAATCAACGAAACTCTCAGGCGTGCTCAGGGGATGCCGAGCGAAATAGACTGTTCATAGCCCCCTATTTTTCCGTGAGATAGCGGTTGTGATATAGCGTGTCTTACAATTAATGGCGGCCATCTTTATTTTCAAATGACCGAGGGGGCGGACATCGGATATCATGTATACATGTAGCTCTAGGGGGAGGGGGGCGAGAAAAATAGAGGGCCTGTAATAACATCACTGCAGCTCGCGTTCACGGAGTGCGTTGTACCAGCAACGCAGGCGTTTGATTGGTAATTAGACAATAGATGTTAATTTGCGTCAAGGGATAACGGGTTTAGTTTAAGTTGCCGACACTGACAAGGCTTTGACAAGTCGTCGTTTCTATAAAACGTACACTTTCATAATAGCATAAGGCACATCTTGCGCAAACACACGAAGGAATTTAGGCATTTTGCGGATGAATCACATAAGCCAACATGCTTTTGAAGCAGCTCGGCCAGGGGAATGTTGTAACACCGTTTCTCCTAAACGAATTGAAATTTAACGCTACGCCGACACAAGAAAAAGAGTACCTGTCAGAAATGCTTGGCTTTTTATCGGGAGGTTTGACCGTTTTAATCTGTGGTATGTCCCAGAAACTGTATAAAATCACTGTTTCGAAAGGAGATATTTGTAAACACGCGAAATCAATGCTAAATGTGTCTGGCATGTTTTTCATTGCCAGCAGAGTTTCTTAATGAATGAATGGTAAAAGGCGTAAAATTCCTGTCATGCCTCCTGAAGGCGAGCTGCAGTGATGTTATTACAGTCTCTCTATTTTTCTCGCTTCCTCCCAAACCTTCCTCCGCCCCCCTTAAGTAGTTTTGACACTCATCCAAGATGACAACCCGTAACGCATAGCGCTCGATCTCGACGATCTTACGGGAAAATAGGGGACTGTGAACAATCTATGAGTTCATCCACCGGTCTCTGTAGAAGATTAGGGAATTTAAGATAGCTCTGTACCGTACACTGGGACGGTTGGATGCTTTACGGGCGGCCTGGCCCATGACGGTGAGAAGGCGCGAAAATTTGCAATTTAAGATCGGACAACAAAACAGAGGATGGTGAAGTCATATGGAAACTCGCATGTAATTTCTTCCGCAGAGGGCTCAATTACTGAAGAAGAGTTTCTTATTTAAAACGAAGAATACCAATCAGAAGAATGAGGGTACAAATTAAAGCTAGCTAGTTTTCAAAACTAGTCGATGTTTTTTGTGGTATCGCAGCTGGACGAGTGGAATTTGAAGCAGCATTAGAAAAGGTGCTGGAAGGCAGAAGCCTTGACGCTTCGCTTAGTAATTCGCTCACTTCTCCTTTTGTTCCTTCGTCCATACTTTATACTGCAGATAAAAATTGCAGCCGAGGATACGACATGTGACCTTGCCATTTGACCTGAGCACGTGATCCCGGCCGAGCTCGCCCCAGGAAGATTAAATGAATTTTTACTTTCGCCGTTTAAACATAATTTACATTGGTAAGTTTAAAGAAATTTGTCAACGTTTCAATTTAAAGGATTAAGTTAGAATTCAGCAGTTTAAAAGACATTTTTCAGTAAATTTTAAATGGGAATTCCAAAGTTTAAATTCAAATGGATAGAATGAATTAAACGAAAATGTCAAAGTTTAAACCATAATTTAATCGAAGATTAAATGGATTTCCGTAAGAAGTTTAAATGAAATTTCCAAAGGATTAAATAAAACTCTTTTAAATTTAAATAAATTTTAGATGCGAGGTTTAAATTGAAAAGAAATCATGTCCAAATCAAATATGAATCAACAGGGATTAAATATTGCTACATATGGGCAGGCATAATGGATCGCGCCCCTGGAAAACAGGTAGTTCACCAAGGATTCAAATGAATTTCAACATGGTTTTTGATTACACAAGCAGTTGTTATGAAGGAAACAATTTTAAACTGGGTTGAACTGAACAGCTTTTAAAATGTTTAAGCTTACATCTTTACCCTGCTAGCAGAGTCGCTTCGATCTTTCATAGATAAGTCGGGAGGAAGATCGAAGGAGACTCTGTTCGCAGGGTAAGACATCTTAGTTGATTGGTCCAATTGATCAAAGAGTAATTGATCATTCATCCGATCCGGAGGTGGGGCACTCAATTGCAGTCAGGCTCGCAGACCCGATTTTTTCACACTTGGTAACCAGGCGCACTTTTACCACGTGGGATTGTTTTGGCGTCGCGACGTTTGAAGACTGCACAGTGCACTCAGAGCGAAGTGAGAATTTACATTGTGAATATCTCAGGTTTGTATCATCTGTTTTTTTTTTCAATTTTAGGCAGTATATGCAAGTTTTTGTCTCTTATGTTTTCGAACCTGGTGCGAAAAAAAGGGCACGAATCCAACTTTTGATGCCCAAGCTTTTGAGTTGGTCAGCTGTTTCGGTTCACAAGCTTACTTTAAGGTCGTTTTGTTCCAGAATGTAAGCTTATTAATTTTTCTGTTTTAAAAAACAGCATCGCCTTCTTCGAGAGGTATCCAAAAAACTATATATAAAGACTTGAACCCACTTTAGGAATGAGAAAGCTTTCATCGGTCATTCCTCATGTCTGGCTCATTTGCTGACTGTGTTGTGGTTTTTAAAGCATGACCGCGTTGTCTTTGTTTTCATTTTTCAGGATGAGTAGTTCGGAAGAACTCTCGCAGTACGATGATAAACCAGTCAAGTCCTCCAAACCTTCCAGTGATTCAGAGCGAGAGGGCAATCGCCCCGTAATTCCAAGAGATATGTTTGGATTATATGGCGTACATGTGAGCAATCTGCCATCTGGAATCTCCCAGGTAGAGTTAGAGAAAGCCTTCTCTACTGTCGGCGTTGTTCAAGTGTGCAAAATCATGGAAAGCAAATGTATTCCACTGTATGCTTTCGTCAAGTATTCATCCACTGTTGAAGCCCAAGATGCTCTGTTGAAGTTTGATGGTTACAAACTGAATGACACTTTCTTAGCTGTGAGACCAGCCTATGTTTCCCACAGATGGAAGACTAAAAAATCCACACCAGGTGGTAAAGCTGACAGGCGTGAAACTTCCTCAGATGATGGCAGGGGCAGTGAGAATTCAAAAGTGACTACATATTCAATGGAATCAAGCGATTGTCGCCTTAAGGATGGAAAACTAAGCGAAAGTGATGTTAGAATGTTTAATGGAAAATCCTCCAAATCATTCTCGCCCAGGAAACCAAATGGTGGTCAAGTTCTGGGTCCACGGTTTCAAAGAAGTTCTCTGTCGAGATCATCAGCATCTGAAAATTCACTTGATTCTCATCGGATTCAAGGCGCTCCTCCTTCACAGATGTCTACATCACCCTCTGGGCAAACCAAGCCAGTTCAACAGGATTTACCTGTTTCAAGTTCCAGTATGTCTTCTGGTCAGGTAAATGGCCACGCTGTCGCGGGAAGTATGCACTCTTCAGCATTTAGGCCGTATCAGGGAAAAATCCAAGAACCTTGCGGCAGACAAAATGGTTATGCTATGGAAAATGGTATTGCAACAGTGACATCATCTATGCATAATCTTGGAATATCAGCAGAGAACAATTGGAATCATAACCAAGTTAACAGTGTCTTGGACTGGCAGCAAGGAAGGGCTCAAGGTGTTACCTCTTACAGTCAAGGGGGTGGAACCAATTACCAGGATAAATCAATGTGTAGTCCAGACGGAAATCAGTACATGCCAGCAGGGAAGTGGATTGCTCAAAGTCCTTGTAAGACAAACGTGTCATCATGGAGCACAGCTGATGTGGTACGGTACTTTTCTTCAAGTGACTGTGCTGTATATGCAGGTTTCTTTCAAGAGCAGGAAATTGATGGAAAAGCATTGATGTTGTTAAACAGAGACACACTGTTGCAGTTCATGAAAGTTGGTCCAGCTCTTAAGGTGCTTCAGAAAATAGAGGAACTGAAATGATACTTGTGCAGTACTTGCCACAGGTTCACATGGATAGTGAGACTTCAAGTTACAGTTATTTGCTGCTTGGCCATTACATGCCCCCTTTACTGTGCAAAATACTAGGTTACGATAAAGTTAAGTCATCTCTTCAAATAAGACGTGATTGTGATTGTAAAAAAGATGATTTAGCAGTGAGTATAAGAACAAAAAGTTATTGAAGGATGAGATTGCAGCTGAACTCACACATAATGCCCTGACAAAACCAAATTATCTGGTCTCTGGTTTGAATAAGATTCCTTCTTACCGTTCATGAGTTTAAGTCCATATAAATTATGCATAATGCTGCCTTAGGGCCTGCTTGCAAGGAAAGAGGGTAACCCTGGTTCTAGGGTACTCTTGCAAGAGGGTCACCTTAGCTCTTGCACATAACTTGTTATTTTTTATGCAAAGTGTTACAAGGCAGGTAGGGCTACCCTGATGCTAGGTAACCCAACCAACGTGCTAGGGTTACCCTACATGTTGCTGCATTGTAAATGGTCTGCTGGGAATAATTAACCTCCCCTAGACAACTTTTCTCTGTCATGTGTAATAATCTTGCATCTTCTCATTAATGTTATTTATTCTAAATATACAATGATAAAATTTGTCTGTTTTTTCATGATTTTAACAAGTTTTTTGTACAGAGATCTTCAAGATTTTATTTGAGTCTTTGAAACAAGAAAGAATGTCTATTTTACTCTTAATCAGTCATTCATGATAAAACATGCCAGTCAAGCTTTATAAAATTGGCATTGGTAATAGGGTAACCTTACCTTTTAAATTTTGCTTGTAAACCAGAACTTTCTTTAAACCACTTGCTAGGATAACTCAAACGGGCCCATAAAATATTGTTTCTATCAGAATACAAAACCATTTTAAAAATAGCAAAACCTCTCATTAATATTTCTTGTGATTTTTTTTAAGGTCAAATATGCACACCTTTTTTTTCTTTAAATAATGTGCTTATCCAAATCAGGGTCTGATTTAAACACTGTGTAAGGAAGTAAATTGGAAATCCCACTAACTGACCCCTAAGGCTTCAAGCTGATCTCTGCTGTAAACAGGCGGTATACTTTTAGCTTTTTGGAAAATCGAGAAAAAAGTATGAAACTTTGTTTAAAGCTGATGATAAATTTTAAGCTTAAAATTAAGGTTTTCTTTGTTTGAAAGCTGATTGTGTGTTACTGATATTAAGTGTTTAGTTTCAAAGAAAATGTGTTGCTGCTTGAGGAGTCACAGACAACAGTTGGTTTGATCAATAATTATTAACCACTGCAAAAAGAAGTGAAGCTAACATTTCATGCACTACTGTCTTCTTCTTTAGAGAGAAAAGTAATAACAAATGAACTTTATGGGGGCAACCCAGTAGTTAATATTGTGGCCCACTAAAAAGAACAAACAGATAATTAATAGCAGTTATTGCAGAAGGCTGAATATGACCTGAAGAATTATGCAGATTGAGCAGGGATTCCACTTTGACTTCAGCTTCAGCATGTAACGCCCTCTGTTATTTGCATCATTCTTCAGGTGATGCGAAAAGAGAATGCAACAATTTCTTTTTATTATTCATTCAAAGTAACCTTGTTCCCAGGGCTTCTTGCTCGCCGTCTCTTTTGCTGTCCCTATCTTGTATTATTGATATCATTTTACTGGAAATCAGAAACATCTTCCAAAGTTGGTCAGTCCTAGCTGATTAAAATGAATGACCCTTGGGATTTGAGTCAATCAGAAATGAAACGATATTTTGAATGAATGATAATTAATTAAGAATGACAAAACACACCATTTGGCTATTTACAACTGACTGTGTAAAAAGAGCGATTTACATAAGTCATTGATCTTTTGAGACTGCAATTTACACTATTAAAAGAAACTACATTGATTATGGAAATATTGTTCATTTATAATGCTTGCACATATTTGATATTACTTTATTTCAATCCATAATGTGAGTTAAGCATTAATTTTGTTTTATCTTGCAGTTTTTTGGACGATTGTGTAAAAGTATTTATATCTCGTTACAAATTGTTATCATTCTTCATATGTTAAATATAAAATTATTCTGTGATCAAGAATAAAGATTTACTTACTTGTTATTTTGTTATGTCTGTTAGTAGTGTGAATACACATCACGCTGTTGCTGTTGATGGAATCGATCACAAGTTCCAAATGGTAGTTCACAGGTTGCCCAAGCTCAGTATGAGAGTTAATCGTTTTAAAATACGTGTGGTATCACATTGCATAAATCCTCAAAATGGCTGTGAACATAAAGGATGTATGGGAATTCAGGTGATAGATTGAAGAAGATAAATGCGATACAAATCCTTCAAATTCACGGCCATTTTGATGATTATGCAACATGATACCACACGTATTATTATTTTTTGAATGATTAATGTCTCATACCTACCTTGGGCAGTCTGTGTTAGCTGTGCCTTTCCCCTATGCCTCAGCGCAAACCAGAAGAAGCAAGTGAATGAAGCACAAACCATGACAAAACGCGAGGGATTAATTGCATCCACCCACCCACTCCCATCCATGCAGTTCTTGGTTTTTACGGGGGCCTGATAGCTAGGCTGTGTTGATGGGCCCAGGGAAGGAGGAAACAGTTGTAAAAGGCTGCCAAGGTCATATGGCTGTGCGCATGCGCAGGATACAGGCCAGGCCTAAGCCGTTCACAAAGCCTAACCCGTAAGCCTAAGCCGTCAAGCAGGCCTAGCCATGAAAAGTAGGGAATTGCGAAGAATAGCTGTGAAGGGCTGCGAATAGTCTCAACTGGTTTTGATCAAGTGAATTGTCCACCGTAAAAAGGTCCACTCGGATGAAGTCGATTCGCCCGATGTTTACTTGTCGTTCTCTAAGCCTGAAAAAATGAATAAACGTGAATGACAGTGCCCGAGTGTACATGTCGATCAACAACTTTTTCCAGTAAAAACTTCACACAAAAGACATATCAAAGATCGACGTAGCGTTCAATGCAATCGCTGAAGTACATGTAGACTTGGGTTTTTTATGAACAGTCAGTCTAGTAGCTCGAAAGTGTTTATCTAGATGGAAAAGATGGTTCAGTTTGCTCGACGTTTTTTAGTAATGGCAGCAATAGAATCCAAGTTTACCTAATTGTGTCGCCTCTTACAATGTTTATGCGTTTCTCTTTCCCATGTCAACTCCAACTCATTTCTCCTCGTCTCTTCGAAACATCCGAAAATGGCAAAGAGGACCAAGAAGATTGGAGTTGTCGGAAGTATGGCACAAGATAGTGCCCCCTGGGTGGGGCGGGGGGTATACTTTAGGAATTTTTGGGTGGGGATGTGCTGCTGGGACCCTGGAACCCTTAGCCTATACCACAGCTAGTTCAGCTGAATTTTGCTACCCTATACTAGACTGAACTCCTCAAAATCCTCCCCCCCCCCCACCCCATTCTAGAGTAGCTGTTTTCCAGGTCACTAGCGCAGTCCAGCCAAAACGAAACCGATTTGATTTTTTTTATATTTTTGAGTGGCAATTCCCGGTTTCCCTAGTCTTGACTAAAATCTTCAACCAATTGATCAGTTTCCTGGAAAATGATACCCTATTCTAGACCCAATTTTCTGATTTATAAACCCTATCCCAGAGTAAACTGAGAACACCAGTACCCTCCCCCTCCGGGACGGTGTCTCAGTCCGCAAAATGGTTTTTTAAAAAAATTGAAATTATTCAGCATTCCAAGTACACATATGTTTTCTGTAGAAAGGAAGCTCTAAAAAGAGAATGTGTTGGTATTTGGCATTGCAAAGGTAACCTGAGATCAGGCCCAATTTTAGCGGTTCTCATACATTCTCTCTAACGCCTCAGGTTATTGCAAAGGATGCGGAAAGACTATCGCTGGAGGAGCATGGGTTGTCAGCACCACAGCCGCAGTAACAATCAGAAGTGCTGTACGACGTCTGATTCCATATGGGCCCCTTAAATGAACTGTTCTTTTTAAGTGAATCCGTTTACAATTATACAGATTGTAGTTGTAAACTAGTTGTAAATTTCATATTTTCCTCTGATCATCTCTGCATGAGGGTCTCAATGGCGTTAACTGATAGGCGTAAAACGGCCAAAAATTTAGTCGATAGCCGTAAAAATTGAAAAATTTTAACCGTTAGCCGTAAATAGGGTAAAAAAGAGTTAACCGTAAAGAAATTGTTCCCTAGATTTGCTACTTTTAAGGAAGGTACTAAACTCACTTATGGTTGGGTTTTTTATTTCGCGGCTAGTGTGGCACCGTACGCACGTTAGGTAAAGCGCCTTTTAGGTGAAGACCAAGACCCATTTCCATTTCC